AACTAGGGGATTTAATATAGCTTGGAGTGTAAGAGTTGAGAATAGTAGTTTACCATGCTGATCAAACTGTGAGGCTGTATGGAATTAAAATTTCATTTCACTGATGAGACAGATTCCTTAATTCATGTTCACTCTGAAAATTTAGACTGTGATATGAGACTATGAAAACCTCTGCATTTCAAGAAATGTGAATAGAAATACAATAAAACTTTAAGTAGGTATCCAACCAAACTTTTATTGGAGTTTTATTGCAATCTACTTTCAGTAATAGGAAAAGTAACCATAAGAAGAACTGATGAGATTTTATCCAACAAACAGTTTTTCATGAATGCTTAAGGTCAGTGTTTCGTCAGTTCAGTCTCCAGTATCATCTTGAGTTGACACTAGAAATTGATGCCAGAATGACAACAGTAAGGCATTGTAAGATCTTAAATCATCTAGGAGGAACCATTATTTACAGATTTTAATTTTTAGGGCAATAAAGTATACTAATACTCTACAATAAATAAGGAATCTTAAAATGAGTTGCTTAGTCCTTGTTTAACTAAATTCAGTATCTTACTATATAAGTACTCCAGTTAATAAAGATTTGATTGTACTTCAAGAACTGACTTTTCAAAGTTTAAAAAAAAATTAGTCCTTATTTGTTATAACAAAGATTAAGCTTAAAAAGCACATTCACACTTGTCCTTAAAAGCATGTTTACATATGCAATAACATCTGGACACATGGCTAATCTGGCAGAGAGAGACATATGCAAAAAACAACTACAGGGCAATCTTTCTATCCCACTTCCTCCAAAAAGCCACACCTGGCCTTGGTGTAAAAGTTCTATTTTATTGCCATGCTATAAAATGTATGAATTTGGCACTAGTAGGGAGAAATGAGCACATACGAGTGAAAAGGGGTAGAGGGCAAACGATGTTGTTACATATACAACAAAGTTTTATGTTAATTAACAGTGGTGAGTTTTGCCAATATTAAAAATGCAAATAAAAACTTAAAATGCTGATATCAAACAGCATTAAAAATACAATTTATGCATAGTACAGTATTGCGTATGTCTTTTATTAGTGAAATATGGAATGTTTATAAAGAAAATGAATCATAAGGGATAAAATTCCTATTTCATATACAATTTGGCAATGGTAGTCCCACTATCAACAACTTTTTATAAAAAAAATTAAAAATCTAATAAGCTACCTTTATACAAAGTTGCTGCTATATTTATGCCTTTATGTAGGAAAACATTTATAATGCAGATTAGGACATACAATAATCTTACAGTATTATACAGTGTAATGAAAATAAAAACACAACACAAAATTTGTCCTTTATAAAATGTGTATTTTGCATTTACTAATGCAAATGTGGCACACTGGTGGCTACTGTACTATTAATACCAGTCTGTTTCCATCCGTCCTTGTCCAATTGTCATAGAATTGCAATTTTAATGATGCAACAAAAGAACTGTTATACCTCCCCAAAAGTGAGGAAGTGGAGATGAAGGAAGGGGTGTAAAGAACACAAAAGACTGACTGGGTGTTGGCTTGGGCAGAGTATGCTGTGGTGTATCATAAAAAGTCTGTTAATTTTTTTCACGCCAAAAACATTTCTATACATTCTGGTTTTCGTACCAATGCCTTTATTCAAATTTGGCAAACACCGGAGAATAGTAATTAGTACCATATACCTCAAATATCAGAAATATGAATGAAATGGAAATACATCAATTACTTCTGTGTGATGTCTCTGATGGTATGTCTATTTCAAGGAGATATTACACACATACGTATATATACATATATACACATATGTGTACATATACATACACACTACACATTGCACAAAACACTAGGGCGTTAGTGTTAAAATGGATAGCACAGGGCAAAGTGGGAATTACTTTTTTCACTTGTAAAAACCTTTACCTTGAGGCAAAAATATGGTGGCACATTGTTGGGAAGTTATTAAAACATAAGGCCCCTGTCTCACTTTTAATAGAACATTATTGAGGTACATTTTATATGCTTTGAAACAGGGTTGTGTTGGGGTGTGTGTGTGTGTGTGTGTGTGTGTGTGTGTGTATGTGTAGAGGAAATAAACACTATCTTAACTTATTCTTACAACATTGAACTGTGGGGTTAACATTACTACTTATAAAAACAAAGAATGCTTGGCAAATTTTCTTAAGTCCCAAATGTGATGTATTCTAGATATACTGGGAAGTGAAAAGCTTTTTGCTGAGACTTAAAGAGTAAAGTGCATAATCTCATCACTCCACAGCATAAAAGGAACTATTTGCCAATCTTCCTGGAGGGAGGGAAGGCACCATATTTTCATTTTTAAAGGAAGATGAAACTGAAATAAAACATTTAAGAAGAAACACAGGTAATACCCACATTAGTTTCCAACCTTGGTCTGGGATAAATGCCATCACAATATAAAAAGGATAAAAGAGGGTTCTATTTGGGGGGAAATGTGAAAGATTTACTTCCAGAACTAAAATATCACACAGCCTGTTAAGAGAACAGAATTGGTAAAATTAGGTCTGTCTCAAGAAGACAGACATAATGGCCACATCCATTATGTCAACAAAAGATCTCACTCCAATGCACCTAGTAATAGAAGCATTCTTCCATGAAAGAGCTTAATGCCCAGCACACTCAACTATTTCAAGGGACAAATAGTGTTCTAAAATACTTTTTATTAAATAGGAACACGGGTGATTTCCAGAAGACATCTAGAAATTAACGCCAATTGTATGTATCTTCCTAACACTCACACAGTACCCAAAATAAAAATCTTAGCAGACAAATTGGTCCCATTTTCATTTTTAAAGCCCATAGTATTTAAAGCATAAACTGTAATGATTATATTGGAGTTACAAAAAAATTTACAAAAATTAGAAGCTAAGAGGAAAAGATGAATGAGTGACACAAAGAAAGATAAAAAAGTACCTACCTCCAAAAGGAATAAAATAGATCAGCCCTTTCATTTGGAGGTTAGTGCTGTCTTGACTAACTGCTCTCAGAAAACCATGTGCATTCATTCCACTGTAATTCATATTCTATATTACAAAACCTTCACATAAATTTGGCACAATTAGCAATTGATTCAGAAGAAAGTACAACTGGAACAATATATTAAAAATGGAAACTGCACACCTATACCACTGATCTCTTCTGTAAAAAAATTCCAAACTCTTTATTAAGCACCAAGGTCACAGAAGGAAAAAAAAAGAAAATCTGCTATGCACATAAACCAATGGCACTGAAAATGGAAACATCTTTTATAATTTATTTACTTTATAATGGTCCCACTCTTGTTCTGCTAAATTATTGTGTAAACTGGATGCTATATGACTAAAACGGGTTTTTTGCTGAGTTATCCTGGCAGATAGAAATAAAAATCTCAAACTTCCTTATATTTAGAAAAAACAGTGAAATATTGTTAGGTGGCCTAACCTATCCACTTCAAAATCTTCTAGTGTTTGGGAAACTAGAACATTCTTGATTTTCCATTAATTTCACAAATGGACTTTGATCAGTTTACATAAACTTCAATTCTTCTAAGTTCTTAAGTATGATACTGTCTCACTGCTCCAAGACTTTCATTGTACCTGCTATGCTGGCAATAATATTAACATTCTATTGAAATAAAGATATAATCAAAAGATCTGGATTATGCTATGAGTGAAAGCACAGCAGAGCCAAAGAACACTAGAGCGGGCAGAGTACAACTGCAGCCAGGTAACTGAGTGAATCACTGCTAAAGTGCTGGGGAGAGTGCCCACAGAGAAAACATAGTACCTTTAAGGAACTCTGCATGTTAAACATATCTTTCTTTTCATCTCAGCTGCTAAAGAGATTACCTATGGACACAAGTGAAATTAAAAATTGAAAAAATGTTTTATCGACTTGAAAAGTAAACAGAATATAAATAAATACTGGACAAGGGCAACCCTGTTATAGAATAACAGTAAGTTCCAAATGAACCTTCAAACTCATAATTTGACAAAAATGCAAACCAAACAACAATGAACATATAATCCAATCTCAAAATTATATACAAAGTCAGACATTTTAAGTTGAAAAAAAGACATTTAGGAACAAAATAAGACATCCCAAACACCAAAGGAAAACTGAAGGTAGATGAAAACCTAATGGCAAAAGTACCTCCAGAAAACAATGTTAATAATCTATAGGATAAAAAATGTCAAAAGAATATAGTTCATATTTTCAAATGTTTTTGGGTAAAGTGACCTGAGACTGATTCTTGAGCCTATTATGATTCTGATTAAGATACTTGGGTGTGCCCTTCAAATGGCAGCATGAGATGAGTAAACAAAAAAAAAAACCTCCTTCTTGCCTTTCTAAACAAACAGACGAGAAATCATATTCACAGATAGAGGGCTCTTTTTAGTAACGCTGAAGGCAGGCAAAGGAGCTGACTGGTATGTAAGGAGGTGCGGTACTTATATTTCCTTTATGTAGGTTTTGGCTCAAGTAAAAAAGCTGTTAATGAAGGAAATAAAATAATTCCTCATGTAACATGCTGGCGGTCACACACTGTGAATAGTGAATCTACAGATATTACTTTCAAAGTCTAGCGTTATCTGTTAGCAATACACATTATCAAGAGGCTTTATAAAAGGTTTTAAATGCCAATCATGACTTAGACATGAAGAATATGCATAAGTTTATAGTCTTGACAAAAATCAACCAGCATGTCACTCACTTCAACTCTTGTTTTAAGTAGGCACTGTGAAAATGGGAATGCTGCTATACAATGGGTAGTATATAATGAAATTAGTGTGTTTTTTTAAAATGAGTACCTGCTCTACATTAATTCCCTTTAGTTAAAGAAGCACATGAAAGATTCAGAAAAAAAAATATCATCAGTCTATAAAAGGAGTTAGTGTTTAGAAATGAAAATGAAACACTTGCATCTTCATTTTTAAAAACTTCACAAAGGTGCAAACAATATAATGCTTTCCAGGCTCACATGGGCAGATCAGTACTATTGTGTCTAGTTTTCCTCGATGTACCATCATCTCGTGGCAGTGCTTTCTGCAAATTTGACATAGCAGCAGTTCTCTCGATGTCTATCACAGCATACAACTCTGTGCGCCTGGTAGGGGTTTGTGGAAGGGGAGTGGTAGGCGTTTTTGGAGTCTGAGGGTTGTCAGAATCACTGCCACCTTCCAAGTCAACTTGTATATAATTGAGCTGCCTATGTTCTAAACTGGGGCGTCTGATATCAAAGTTAAAGACTGTGGGTGTACAGTCCCGACGCCTTGAATATTCTATTTTGTGAGCACTTGCTGGTACTGTTACATTCTCTGTATTTACATAGTTATGCATTGGGTCTAGGTTATTATGGTAGCCATTTAGAGATGGAGTCTTTGGTCCTAAGTTGTCATCTTCATCCCTACTTAGTTTGCGGGCTTCCCAAACAGGAGGCAAAGATGGTAAATTTTCATAGTTTAATAATGCAGTTCTCCTCTGAGCGGAATTGTTGATATTCTGGGTATCTGAGGTACTGGTGGATGTCAGACGACCTCTCCTGACCCCTGAGGCACTAGGGATAGATAGCCCATTTATATTTTCATACACTAGTTTATTAACAGAGGGTGTATCTCTTCGTTCATCACTGTCATAACCAGTGTCCCATTCTGTGTTATTTGCTCCACTTCCACTAACATGATCTCTTCCAAGTTGCTCCAGTTTCTCTTTTTCCATTAATTGCTTTTGAACAGGAGTTGGTCCTAAAACAAACTTGACTCCTTCAGGCTCAAGAAGAATCTGAGGGTTCCTGTCTTCAATACTACTTGGTTCCTCTTTCGGTGTGCTGCTTTCAGCATTAGAAATCCTTGCCTCCAATGGGATATGCACACTTGTTCGGTTTTTCCGTTCTTCCTGCACACCTGTAGTGTTGACATAAGTATGTACCTGAAGGAAATAAGAAAGTAAATCAGTAACCTGTGTAAACACCAAAACAAAAAAATGCTGGCCACATCAGTTAATTTTACTGACCACTTTCTCTCTAAATGCCCTTCTACTTCAAGCTTTTATGTTTGCATTCCTTGTTTTCTAACTGATAAAAAGGAGTAGGTGTGTTATGTTTAGAAATGTCTTAACTTGAAAAAAAATAACTACTTTAAAATAACATGCAGTGTCAGAGTTGATAATGTAAAACAAGTATTCTGTTAAAAATAGATTAAGGAAGGTACACAACAACAACAACGACAAACCTTCATTACCTAAAAAACTCGTAATAGCTTAAGTGTTTAAAAAATAAAGTCTTCTTTGATGCAAAAAAAATAGATTAAGAAAAAAACATAGTTTACATTTTGTTATTGTTCAAGAAATTTTCATTACAACATAGCATTTCTTTCCCCTCCCCCAGTTTTATTGAAAAAAATTTTATTGGTTTGCATATAATGTTTCATATATATCGTGACTGTGCATGAACTTTGTGTTTTGTACAATTATTCATCTACATATAATTGGTAAAATTAATTACAGTTGCTCTATGCCTCATTTTTTTTTTATTAATTTTAGTGAAAGTTTACAGAGACTTAGGATTTCCATTCATTCATTGTTGCACTTTTCACCCTGCTCACCACCCCCCACCCAATTCACTCTTCTCTGCGAAAAGTAAAAGAAAAATTCTTTCCTTGTTATACAATCCTTCCCCCCAGGTCCACTCCACTGTGCAGCCTTCATTCTGGACTCCTGTCATGACAATAATACCTAATCACATATTCCTTTTAAACAGTTCTCTCCCTCATCTAAAACATAGCATTTCTAATGGATTGAATTGCATTATGTCCATCTGCACTTTCCCCCACATTCCAGTATGTGCTATAAATCCTAATTCAATGTTTATGGACACAATCTCAACTGGTAACAGGATTTTTTTTATGTTAATGAAGACTTCTCAATGTAGAGTATGTCTTAATCAAGGAGACACAGATGAGGAAAGACAGATGTCATATGGAGATCCTTCCATGAATGCTATGAAGCTGAAATAAGGGCATTCCCCTAGATTAGACAACAGAGCATCTTTCCCTAGAACAAATCCTAAAATTGGACCTCTAGTCTCATAAACTGTGAGAAAATATCTGTTCATTAAAGCCATCTTCTACTTGTGCTATTTCGTTAAAGCAGCACTAAGAAACTAAGAGTATTAAGATGTAATTTCAGTAATAAGAAATCTCAAAAAAGACACACTTATCACTATTTATAGATTATATGTAAAATTTATAGCCTTAAAACTCTATGGGGCAGTTCAATTCTGTCCTATAGGGTTGCAAGTCAGAATCAACTCAGGGGCAGTGGGTTAGTATGAAATTAACATTATTTACAATACCTCAATGGCATTTTTGTAGCTGATATTTAAGAACTCTGGTGGCCTAGCAGGCAAGGAGTTGTAAATGCAAGGGGTTACAATCTACCTGCTTTTCCTAAAAAGAAAGATGGTTAAGGTCCTCCCATGTGATTTATAGCCTCTCAAGACCCTCTGGTGTGTGAGCTATGAGTTGGTTCCAACTCAACAGCAATGAGTAAGTACATAAAATCTTAAAAACTCAAAAATCATAAGAAAATAGGAAAACATAATCTTGCAAATACAATAAAGAATTTAAAAATTATTAAATAAAGAACCTAAAGATAGTGATACAAAATACTGAGTCTTAATAATGAACAGTCATGAAGTTTACAAAAGTGGAAATAATTAATATGTAGACAATATTCGGCCAGATATTTAATTTTGCAAATAAAAATGTGCCAGAAACATGGAACAATTCCATAACAACAATAAAATCTACCCTTCTGCTAAGAGTCTAATCATAAAGACTAAAACATGAAAAGCTGCATAAATTCTTAATCCACTGAAGGTTATTATAGTGAGAACTTGCGCAAACCACTTTAAAAGTAAATTACTGTAAACATTTGCCCTTGGGCAAGTTATCTCAGCAAATGCATAAAATTCCCTTGAGTCTTCACTATAAAAGCAATTCCTAAGTAATGAAAATGAAATTCAAAGGGAAAATAATCTTCAAGTATTACGTTAGTGTACTTTATCTTAGTAATCCTTGAATACTACCCAATCATCATCAGTTATACAGATGTACATGCTTACTTGTTCCTCAGCCACAAGCAAAGGATGTGTAGATTCTTCACCTACTGAAGGCAAGCGTGCACTTCCTACTGAAGGATGTCTGCTTGAAGGATGAGACGAACCATCTCCAAACGAGGGATATCGGGGATATCCATTAGGTAAGTTCTGAGCAGCAAACCCTGGAGCTGAAAATTTTTTGTTTATCGGTTTAATCAGGAAATAGGGAGTATGGAAGACAATAAGAAATCTGCACTGAGAAGACTAAGGAAGGCATTTCTGGAAATAACGGTAGAAATGAGGGTGTAAATAGTCCCCATGCCACTTTTCCAATTATATTAGATAATATTGAACATTGCTGTTTTCCTATTTAAAATACTAAAAATGTTTAGATTATATCCAAAAATTTTTGAACATTGATAGTTATTATACTTAAGTTAGGAGAACTCTGGTACTGGAGTCCATAAGGAATTGTATTGCTAATCCAAAGGCCATACCTTTCTGGTGGTTTAAATCTACCAGTGGCACCTTGGGGAGAAAGACAGACAATCTACTTTCAGGATCAGCTATGGGTTGGTTCCAACTTGATGGCAATGAGTTAAGTCAGTAAACTTAGGGTTAGCCAATAGTGATTTCTGGTATGTTATTAAAAATATGACAATGAAAATGTGTACTCACTTGTAGGTGTTCGAGGTGTTCTGGGGACTTCCAAATCTGTCTGATGATTATTCCTTTCTACAACTGGTTCTTCCACCACATTTATACTATTATTTTGCATAATCTCTTGCAACATGTTAAATAACTCTTCTGCACGAGCACATTTAAAGGCAAAGATTCCTTTAAATATAAAGCAAAGGGGAAACCAGTTACTAAGAATCACCACCTATCAAGGCATTTTGTGCACCAATAGCAAGAATGGTCTTTTAAAGAAATATCTGACAAATAAGATAAACCCAGTTTCAATACAAAGAACCCAAAAGAAAGTCCACAGTTAAATTTGCATTTATATAAGGGTTCAAATCAAAGTAGAAAAAGCAAAGTTGCAAATTTACTCCTCTTCTGAACAGAAGAGAGAGCACAATTTGCCATTATCAAGATAAACACAAATCTTTTGATAAGCCTCTTATTGCTTGTTGTTGTTATGTGCCGTCAAGCCGCTTGCGACTCATAGCGACCCTATGGACAACATCCCTAAACTCTTCTCTGTCCTGTGCCAATCTCACCATCTCTGATACACCCATTCCGATTACCCCAGTCACTGAATCAATCCACCTCATAGGGGGCCTTGCCCTACTGTGCTGTCCTTCCCACCAAGCATGATATCCCTCTCCAAGGACCTGTCCCTCCTTGCAACATGTCCAAAGTATGTTAGACCGAGCCTTAGAATCCTTGCCTTCAAGGAGCAGCCCGGATTGCTAGATGTTTTATAATTATTTTGTTTAATTATGATAGTAATTCTATGATAAAGGTATTATTACCATTCTAATTTTACATAAAACAAATATGAAACCCAGCAGGGATCATGTGATTTGCCAAGGTAATTTACTCCACTAGCATTAGCAAATAAATGAACTATGTTTAACTCTGAAGTTTAAGGCCTTCCTTCTAAAAGCAAGCAATAATGATAGAGATGCATAGTTAATTAACTCTTGATTATTCCTTTACCAAAAGTCTTAATGTTGGCAGGAATAAAAATTCTTGACAGAGAAAATATGCTTAACAAATGTTTGTTACATGGATCCCCTTAATAAGTGAATTTTTCTTTTAGGAGAAAATAAAAGTATTAATTTAAACACCATATAGTATAATTGAAAGAACAATAGTTTAAGAAGAAAAAAAACCAAAAGCTCAATCTACCTTGTCCAGTTTGACACCTTCGACCACTTTCAAAAGAAAAAAGATTTGAATCATAGCCATAGCGTCGCAGGCAGAGGTAGTGCCATTTTACTGAGTCACGTTTACGGGTGTATAAAATCAACTCTGTGTCTGTAAGCTCCATTATGCCAGAACCTAACTCATTCCCATCATCATCCACATTAATGACCTAAAAAAGAAGGTTTTATTAGTGCTAAAATAATTCTTCCACTTAATAGAGGACATTTATTTTGTAAATTCATCAGGAAAATGCATTGTTGTTGATTGGTTCAGTGATGCAATCATTAGTTCAACTTTAGACTGTATGATGCTTTTGTAGTATGGACTATTGTAGCAATATATTTTCTGGTTTTCTATCTGAAAGGAATTTATATTCCACTGGTTGGTCAAAGTATGTAAACACAGGAAGTTAACACAGAACTAAACTGCATATGATTAACTGGCAAGTGAATATAATAGAGACAGCAAAACTAGTTTATGGCTACTGGAAAAGTCTTCAGATAGCAAGCGGAAGGACTTTGGATAAATTTAGATGTAAGAAAGCAAAATTGAAGAGTAAGGCATTGTTGTGGGCCATCAGTTAGAAATGGCTCATAGCTAACTCTCTACTGGGTTTTCAGAGGCTGTAATCACACAAGGAGGAGTCTGCCCATCTTTCTCCTACAGAGCAGTCAAAAGATTTAAACCATAAGTCTTCAGGTTGGCAGAGTAGCTCCTTATCACTAGGTCATCAGAGCTACCAAAGATGGTGTAGGAACATCATTAAGACAGACGCTAAGGCAGAAATAAAGAAGGTATGTTTCAAATAGATAAAAGTAACACTGGCACAAATTACGAAAGGGATGGGCTCTGTACTGTAAAGATTAAAGAAATGTTTCAAGACTAAGAACAAACATTTATGGCCAATTTATTATATAACTGGAACTAAATGAAGCGCTTTATTTTCCTCATTTAATCTCCACAATAATCCTAGAGTGAAGATAACAGTATTTTTCATATTGTACAGAAAAGGAACTAGTTTATGATAATATAACAACCTGTCCAAGGTCACAAAAACTGTAATAAAGTGATTTATACTTAAGTTTGTCTGATCTGACGACTATAATTCAGAACAAAATGAGGTTAAATTATAAAACACTAAACAGTTGTGAATGAATAGGAAATAGCATTAACTCTATGGATAGCATAATATCAAGAAGTTTCAGGTGCTAATGAAAGAAGACAACTAATTTTAAGACAAGGTTTACAGGGGTAACTGAAAGTAGAGTCTAGTTAAGAGATTAACCAGGCTTAAAGTGGTCAGGGTTTAAATGCTACTGTTGTCTACTGCTGAGTCCTAACTGACTAATCGCTAACCCTCCAGCAAGGTTTTCAGAGGCAGTAAAGTGCATGAGAGGAGACTTTTCATCTTTCTCCCAAGAAACAGCTGGAGGATTCAAACTGCATGCCGCTGGTATGGCAGCGTAGCTCCTTACCATCAGAGCTTCTTAAGGGGTAGTAAGAGGACTAAAGAGAAACTTTTAAAAGAAGTATCACAACAACTATATGGTTAAAATTAAAAAAGATTCCACATTGTTATTAAGAAAATGTCATTAGCTTTAAGTAAAACAAGAAAAAGCAGAGTAGAAATAAAGGATGAAGACATAAAAATGAGGTGTGTAGAGATAGTATTACTGAAATAAATGAACAACAAACAGCCAGTGAGAGTTATTAATCAACTAATTTTACTGACCTTAAACTTGTTCCGATGGTTATCTGGGACGGTGTCTTTATCTGGACAGCTACAACAGCTACCCATGGCTTCTTCAGAAGACCATGTGAGCTCTACATAAAAAATAATTTGGAAACAATTATTAGAAGTAGGATATAAAAATCCTAAACCACAAAAATACTTTAGAAGTCATTAATACACTAATTAAATAATAATACTGAATCAACACAATAAAATATTTTGGTTAGAAAAAAAATCATTAATACATGTCCTGCATTGCTTTGATATTTAATAAGAAAGAAACAGAAGTCCAAGAAGGTACATAGTTTGTCCTACATTTCACATTACTTGCTGGTGAATTTTGCTTAGTGAAAATGGGAATAAATTTTATGATGTAGACCTCACAAAAAAACATTAGATTTTTCACCTTAAATTGCAAGGTCTGCTTATTCTAAAAGTATTTTAAAAACAAAAGCAATTTAAGGTTCCATTTTAATAAAGTCACTTATGAAATGAATCTTTGATAGCTTATCAGGGAAATCCAATTTCTCATAAAATTACCAAGATTAGGGTGCTATATGTCTGGCTTTGCACCTATTTTGATTATTGATTATTATTATTATTATTACTTGTTGTGTGCTGTTGAATCAGATCCAGCTGGCACAGGAGGAGATTGCCCCTCCTTCTCCAACAGAGAATCTGTTGGAATTTAACTGCGGGCCTTTGGGATTGCAGCTCAACTTCTTGCCACTAGGCCACCAGAGCTCCCTTCTATTTTGATTTTTGTTGCTTGTTGTACCTTTAGGCACCCACACAAAAGCTCACTAGTAAATGAAATGCAAAAGCAGACTTGGACTAGTACAATAGTAAGAGTGACAACTCAAATTAAAACACTAACATAAATACATGGCAAATTGGTAGAGAATGATACTTAATCCTTTTTAAAAGAAGGTTAGAGATTATGAAATTAGAGATGTTTAAATGAGCACTCGCTAAATATGGGAAAAAGTAAAAATATAATTTACAAAGCAAGAGGGAAAAAAACCAGGTGAATGTGACATTTGGAAGAAAACACAAGAAACTATTGAACACTGCAACAAATCGGATCGAAATCTGATAAAAATCTTTAGTAGTTTTTTTAATCACCTTTAGAATGAAAGTCAAAACTCACTGGTATAACACAGAAGGCACTACACAATCTGGTTCCTGCTGACAGGTCCAATAGGAAAATCTCTCTTTGTCCTTTAAGTCCTACACTTAATCCAGTCATATAGAAAACCCTTCAGTTTCCATTAATGCAAACCTCATTCTCCTCACATACAATGTACACCACAGGGCCTCAAGTATCCCCTCCCTGACAGAAGAATTCTTATTTCTTCCCTAAAGCATCAACGATGTCCCAGTATCATACAAATACACACACACACACACACCCCTTAATATTTACTTAAAAGAAACTGTAATAGACAATTGGCTTATCTATCTTACTCCCTCAATTGTAAGCTCCTTTACATCACGGAGGAATTTTATGTTATGTCTCCACTGCCAGGGCCTAACAGTATAGTATTAGTATAGTATAGTATAGTATAGTATAGTATAGTATAGTATAGTATAGTATAGTATAGTACAGTACAGTAGATGCTGTAAATTCTTTGCTAACTGAATAAATGCTATTAAGCAATGGTGAAAAATGACTGCCAGGGCCTAACAGTATAGTATTAGTATAGTATAGTATAGTATAGTATAGTATAGTATAGTATAGTATAGTACAGTACAGTACAGTAGATGCTGTAAATTCTTTGCTAACTGAATAAATGCTATTAAGCAATGGTGGAAAATGCCTGGCAGGCACAAACAGTATGTTGCTGTTAACAGCTACTGTTAAAAAATGGCTTTGACTCTTTAGAGACTCCATGTATGAAAGAAGGAAATGTTGCTTTGGTCATATGCAATTTTCACAGTTCTTGGTATACATACGTCCACAACTGTGGCCTTTGTGTATTTCAAGTGTCCTCAACTCTGGAGGATTCCTCCTCTAGCATTATGTCAGACAACATTCTGTTGTGATCCATAGGTTGGTTATTGGCTAATTTTCAGAAATCGCTACCCTTTTCTTCTTAGTCATGGTCTGGAAGATCCTCTGAAAGCTACTCAGGTGATATTGCCAACGTCTGACACACAGGAACATCGCTTCCAGCATAATAGCAACAAGTATCCCACCAGAGTATGACAGACTTATTGTAATCACATGTTACAGAATTGTTATACTAGTGTAAAACTAAACCCAATTCCAATTCAATGAACTTCCACTGGGTTTTTAAGGCTGTAAATCTTTATACGAGATTTCCCATCTTTCTACTGAGGAACATCTGATAGATTACAACTGCTGACCTTTCAGTTAGCAGTACAACTTTTATTGTACTATAAAAGAAATAGTAATATATTAAAGTTACGACTCATGATATTTGGCAATTTGCTCGAACTAATATCCCTGCCAAGCAGAGACACTGTGTACATCATTGAAAAGCCATGATTCTAAAGGGACAGATGGACATGTAAACAGGTTATTATAACCCTGGATGGCACAAATAGTTATATGATCAACTGCTACCTGAAAAACTGTGGTTTGAGCTCACTAAGAGGCCTGGCAATCTGCTTCCACAAGGTCAGAGTTTTGAAAACTGCTTCTCTGAAGCAGTTTTACCCTGCATTTACAGGGTCATCATGAATTGGAAATGATCAACGGCAACAAACTACAAATCATAAACCTTACATAAGAAGTATGAGCAACTAACTTTCAATCAGTTCAGTATACTTCATTCAGACTTTGTTTCTATTTAACCTGAGACTTAGAAAATAATGAAGAACTGTGCTAGGCAAAAAAAAAAAAAAGAATTAGACACCTGAGACAGAAAAAGAGGACTTATAAAAGTAAAATCGTCAAAGTGTGTTCAGAAGAGAGTGAGGTGCTCAGTTTGACTGGAACACAGGGTAAGCTGTAAAAGAAGCGGAGGGGAGAAGAGACAAATTATACAGCACCTGCAACAACAAACCTGGGATCTGGAATTTGGTTTTCCTATCAACTTAACCTGCGTTATGCAGATGACACAACCCTGCTTGCTGAAACTGAGGAGGACCTCATGCACTTGCTGCAGAGGATCAAGGACTGCAGCCTTCAATATGGACTGAGGCTCAATGTCAAGAAGTCAAATTGGTAGCATGAGGATGAATGGCGAAGAGACTGAGATTGTTCACAGCTTCAGTTTGCTTGGCTCCACGGTCAACACTCTTGGCACCAGCAGTCAGGAAATAAAAAAATGTATTGTGATGGGAAAATCTGCTGTTAGGGACCTCTCTAAAGTACTCAAGAGCAATGGTGTCTCTCTGGAGACTAAGGTGCGCCTGATACAGGTCATGGTTTTTGCAATCACTTATTATGTATCAGAGAGTTGGACAATGACTAGGGAGGACAGAAGGAGAATTGATGCCTTTGAGCTGTGGTGCTGGAGAAGAGTACTGAATGTACCATGGACTGCCAAGAAAACAAACAGATTCATACTGGAGAGGATTAAACCCAAGCAACTCCTTGGAGGCAAGGATTCTGGGGCTTCGTCTGACATACTCTGAGCATGTTGCAAGGAGGGACAGGTCCTTGGAGAGGGCCATCATGCTTGGGAGGGTGGAGGGATGGCTCAAGAGGGGAAGACCCTCTATGAGATGGATTGATTCAGTGACTGGTGTAATTGGGATGGGTGTGTCAGAGGCAGTGCGACTGGCACAGGATAGAGCAGGGTTTAGGGCTGTTGTACATAGGGTTGCTGTGAGTCGCAAAGGACTCGGCGGCACATAACAACAACAACAACAACATTAACTTGAAGCCAAAGACATTTTTTAACATGGATGGTAATAATCTAATTTCTTTTCAGGAAAAAAAAAATTGATGGTGACCATATTAAAGGAATAATGGAATAGAAAAGGATTATGAGAGAAGACTAGTTATAAGGTCGTTGATGAAAGAGATAATACAGATCTCTTGTTCTTAACTTTGGTGCACATTACAATCACAGATGAAATTTTTTAGAAAACAGAATCCTAGACTGGGGCCTACTAAATCCCTTTCTAGGCATAGGGTTATAACTATATTAAAAAATGCACAGGAGACCACATGTCATTCTCTTGTACAACAAAGATGAGAATCACTGATACAGAAAAAAGTATAAAGTTGAGGTGATTAGGAAGAATGAGATATTCTTCTGAGGGGTATTAAATCTTCACAGTGGCATTTTAAGAAATAAAAACACTGCAGAGAAAAAATACCGAGAAAAGATAATTTTCTCTTGAAGTGATTATCGGTGACAATACTTTTAAAAATTTTTTTAAAAATAATTTTAATGAACATTTACGGAGAATTTGGATTTCCATTCATTCATTGCTGCACTTCTCCCCCTGAGTGACAATACTTCTGAGGGGTATTTGAAAACAAGCCCAAGGATTTGGCAATTAATAGGTAATTGGTAATACGACAGCAACTCTTTAAGTAAAGTGGTTCAGGTAAGTCTGACTACTCAAGAAACATAGCAATAATGCTTCTTAAAGAAGACTGGAGTTATACAGTTTGATCAAGGTAAATAAGATGACTGAGAAGTAAAAAGGAAAAGATAATTTTTGGTACACAATTTTTAAAAAATTTTTGGTACATTATTTGAGAAATAAAATTTTGCAACACCAATGACAAAAAAAATATGTTTGTGGCTATAAAAATATGTTTATAGGCAAATATGTATATGACTATATGGTACATATTTGTGCACAGACAGATGTATCCATGGTTTCTGTGCACACAAGTACATGTGCCTATATATTCATATATAATAAAAAATGTAGGGGACAAAGTTACAAACAGTTTTGAGAGTCTGATATTCTGGGTTTCAAGACTTATGACCACAGTTAAGTGAGATAACTCATCTAAAAGACATAATAATACAATTCATAAAGTATATGTTCTACAGCCCAATAGATGTATTAGAGATCTTAACTTTCCAGCAGTCTTTTCAGATACAACAATTAGTCTCTACTTGTCTGGAATAAAATA